CAAATAAACAACTTAACGATGAAACTTAGACTCCTAGAAAAACAAGAGCAAGAAAAACCCAAAGCTCGAACAAGAGAGGAAATTATAAAGATCCGAGCAGAAATCAATGCAATTGAAATTAAGAAAACGATACAAAAAATAAATGAAACAAAGAGCTGGTTTTTTGAAAGAATAAATAAAATTGACAAACCCTTAGCTAATCTTATCAAAAAAAGGAAAGAAAAGGCTCAGATCCATGCAATTAGGAATGAAAAAGGCGAAGTCACAACAGATCCGAAAGAAATCCAGAGGATCATGAACACCTACTTTGAGAACCTGTACTCTAATAAAATGGAAAACACAGAAGAAATGGACAGATTTCTAGATACTTATGAATTACCAAAGTTGAACGAAGAAGATAAAAACATTTTAAACACCCCAATCACAATCAGTGAAATTGAAAATGTAATTAAAAACTTACCAACAAAGAAAAGCCCAGGCCCTGATGGATTCACTGCTGAATTTTACAAGACATTTAGAGAAGAACTACTACCATTACTCTTCAAACTTTTCAATGAAATTGAAAGAGAAGCTATACTTCCAAATTCATTCCTGGAAGCAAGTATCACTCTGATTCCCAAACCAGAGAAAGATACAACCAAAAAGGAGAACTACAGACCAATCTCCTTAATGAATATAGATGCAAAAATCCTTAATAAGATACTAGCAAACAGAATACAGAGGATTATTAAGAAGATCATCCATCATGACCAAGTCGGATTTATTCCAGAGATGCAAGGGTGGTTCAACATACGAAAGTCAGTGAATGTAATACATTATATTAACAAAGTCAAGGACAAAAACCATATGATCCTCTCAATAGATGCAGAAAAAGCATTTGATAAAATTCAACACCCATTCATGATAAAAACCCTGCAAAAAATTGGAATAGATGGTCTATACCTCAATTTAATAAAGGCTATTTATGAAAAACCATCAGCCAACATCATATTGAATGGCCAAAAACTGAAAACCTTCATGTTAAAATCAGGAACAAGACAAGGATGCCCACTATCGCCACTTCTCTTCAATATAGTTCTGGAAACATTAGCCACAGCAATTAGACAAGAGAAAGAAATTAAAGCAATAAAGATAGGAAAGGAAGAAGTTAAACTATCATTATTTGCTGATGATATGATACTCTACATTGAAGATCCAAAAAACTCCACCAAAAAACTTCTAGACTTAATTGACAGATTCAGTAAAGTATCTGGATACAAGGTGAATACCCAAAAATCAATAGCCTTTCTATACACAAATAACAGACAGACAGAAAGAGAAATAAGGGAAAAAATTCCTTTTACAATAGCATCCAAAAAAATGAAGTATCTAGGAATCAATCTAACAAAAGAAACAAAAGATCTCTACACTGAAAACTACAGCACTCTGAAAAAAGAAATCGAAGAGGATATAAAAAAATGGAAAGATATCCCCTGCTCCTGGGTAGGAAGAATCAACATAGTGAAAATGGCCATACTACCGAAACTGCTATATACATTCAATGCAATGCCAATTGAAATTCCAACACTATATTTCACAGAACTAGAAAAAAGAATCCAAAAATTCATTTGGAACCACAAGAGACCTAGAATAGCAAAAGCCATTATAGGCAACAGTCACATGGCACCAGGTGTAACAATTCCCAATTTGAAACTATACTACAAAGCCACTGTGATAAAATCAGCATGGTACTGGCAAAGAAATAGGCCTGAGGATCAATGGAACAGACTGGAAGACACAAAAACAAATGCAGATGTACTCAGCTACCTCATCTTCGACAAAGGAGCTCACCATCCTCAGTGGAGGAAAGATAGCCTCTTTAATAAATGGTGTTGGAAAAACTGGATATCAACCTGTCACAGATTAAAATTAGACCCTTATCTTTCGCCATGCACTAAATTAAAATCCAAATGGATTAAAGATCTAAATATTAAAACAGAAACATTAAACTTGCTGGAAAGTAAGTTAGGCAGAACTCTGGAAGACATTGGTATAGGAAAAGACTTTATGAACAAATCCTCAGTAGCACGGGAACTAGCAGAAAGAATCAACAACTGGGATCTCATCTTACTAAAAAGCTTCTGTACTTCAAAAGAAACCATTAGCAGAACTAAGAGACAATCTACAATGTGGGAAAAAATTTTTACCAGCTGTACCTCAGACAAAGGACTATTATCAAGGATATATAAAGAACTCAAAACAATCAGTCCCCCCAAATATAAAGACCCGATCCAAAAATGGGCATCCGAAATGAACAGACATTTCTCATACAAAGAAGTGAAAGCAGCAAGAAAATATATGAAAAAATGTTCCACATCACTGGTCATTCGAGAGATGCAGATGAAAACAACACTGAGATTCCACCTCACCCCACAAAGAATGGCTGCTATCAAGAAATCACACAATAACAAATGTTGGCGGGGTTGTGGGGAGAAAGGAACCCTCCTCCATTGTTGGTGGGAGTGCAGACTAGTGCAACCACTATGGAAATCAATATGGAGATACCTCAAAGAGCTTGGACTGGAGGTTCCATTTGACCCAGCCATCCCTCTGTTGGGTATCTTTCCAAGAGAACTAAAAGAATCATATCACAGAGAAGTATGTGCACCCATGTTTATAGCGGCACAGTTTGTAATAGCTAAATCTTGGAAACAACCTATTTGCCCATCCGTTGGAAACTGGATAAAGAAGTTGTGGTTTTTCTATAAAATGGAATATTACTCAGCCATAAAGAGCGAGAGAATAGATTCATTCATAGGAAAATGGATACATATTGAAGATATACTCCTAAGTGAAATAAATAAGTCCCACATGTGTAAATACCAAATAGTTTCCCTGGTGTGAATATTCTGCAACAATGCATAAGATTCTAATAAGATTACTGACATTTAGAAATGGGAGGAAAGGAGCTAAAGGTGTAGGGAAGGTGTGATACGTAGGGGAAGAACAAAAAGGGAAAAGAAAAAAATGTGAGAGAATGAAAAGATGAAAATAAAGTGTTTGTAGATGGGGAGGGGAGGAGGGGGTGAAGGGAGGGCAGAGGTAAGGGGAAAAAAATGAGAATCAAGACTTGCCATGTAAAGGTACATGATCCCAACAATGAATGTAACTGTACTGTATCCCTAAATGTACCAATAAACTCAATAAAAAAAAAAAAAATATTTCCTCGAAAGGCTGGGTTAAGACCTTGCCCCCAACCCAGGTGATACCTATTTAAAGTATCAATTACTGCTGTAAGATCTAAGTCTCACTTCCACTCCACGGAGCGTGAACAGCTGACAAGGCCTCCACGATGCTAGGTCCTAAAACCCAGCAAGGCTCTAGGAGCTCGACAGAGGTACAAGAAACCCAGGAAGGAACACATCAGGCTAGATGGTAAACAGACCTTTATTAGTCTGGCCAGACAGCACTCCTGGAGCCAGGTAGCTCAGAGGCAACTGCTCAGGGGCTGAGGTCCTTTTTATAGGGTTTTTCTAGACAAAAAGTTCAAACATAAGTCAGGGCATTCACAGAACTACCAGAGAACCGAGACTTCAAACGCATTGCTTATCTTATGCAGGAAATGTTCTATGGGCACCTTTTGTCATACCATTTGCCCCTGGTCAGGCTGTTAGCCAAATTAGCAATTAGCATATGAAGAAGTACAGTCTCTGGCCTATTAGCATGGGGTCACTTTAGCTTATTCAAGTCTTACACTGCTATTTATCCCCAGGGGAAGCACAAAAGTATAGTAGTTTCTCTCCTTTTACAATTCTACAATTCTGGCTTTCAGTGAATCTGTCTTGATTGTCTCCATGTTGACTCCTCCTGGGCTGGTCGTGTCTAACTGCCTACAAGATATCTAATTAACTTACCTAGCTGCAACACCTTCTATCTCTCTTAGACAGAAGCTTTCTTTCCCTCAATAAATTTTTCCTACTCTTAATTTCCATTGTCCCTAGAATTCAATGTTCGATTTTAGAAACCATAAACTTGCATTTTGAATATCTACCAGGTATGGGAGTTACATTTCTTCCCCCTGTATCAAGAAGACAGTGTGCAAAGCTGGGAGTATAAAGCCAAAGGTCCAGTAAAGACCCCAAAATTTTAGAAAAGCCAAAAACATAGCTCACCTGAGGAAAACTGCAAAGAGAGAGATAGCCCCAAAGTAGAGTTACAACCACAAAAAGTTCCATAGGGGTAGCCACTCAAGCTCTTTAGAATTCACAACTTGCCACAGATTTCCAGAAATGCTAAAAGTAAAATTATAGGATTTAATGTTTGCCCTACAATATTTTCATCTTGTTTTGTTCCTATTCCTTGCTATCCTCATTTGTATCTTTTGGAATAAAAATGTCTATCTTGTGCCATTAAATGTTAAAACAAAAACAAAAAACTACAGTCAACTAAGATGACAAGTATTGTCGCTTAGGTAATATTGAGGTGGACAAAACTAAGATCAACCAAGATTACAAGTATAGTCAGAGATAATATTGAATAAATGGGGATCAAATGGGGAAGCTAGTCACTCATGTGGACAGAACGAGGACTTTCCAGAAAGAAAATGGTCTAGGAAGATTTTTAGTCTCCATTTAAGGAGATTGATACCTATTTAGAATATCTATCTCTGCTATTCATCTCTAGGGTAAGTATGTAAGTGTAGTACTTTTTCTTTTTTATAATGCTGACCTTTAGTGAAGGTGTCGCAATTGCCTTTCCTGTTGACTCCTCCAGGGTCGGCTCTAACTGCCCACAAGGTATCTAATTAACTTAGCTATAAACAATACTAGGACGCCTATACGCCTCCCAAAAAGGATTACTGCCTGCCACCACGACTAGGCCACATGCACCTAACTCTGTCAGGACCCCAGGACAGACCCACAATGACACCCAAACCCCACAGTGACTTCACGAATCCAGGCAACTCCAGCGCAGGCGCATGCGCCTGTCAGGCACCGCGCTAGCCAGCCCGCTCCCTGGTGGGGTCCTTCGGGCCTTCAGCAGGACAGCTCTCCCAGGGTCCTGCCTTGGTTGCTTAGCAGTAGCTGGGCGGTTGCAGGCCTGAACCGGAGTGGCCCCGCGGAGGGAAGCTTGGGGGTCTGGCTTATGTGTGGCATCCCTGGCCTTTCCTGGCGCCAGTCGCAGGTGAGGTTGAAGCAGCGGTGAGCTACTCAGCCTGTGGGATCCGCTCCTTCGAGGTTGTCAGTGGGCCTGGGGGAGGGCGGGCGGGAGCCAGGGAAATTCCGGGGTGGGTCGCCTCGCTGTGTGGAGTGTGCCCGGGTTGGGCCGGGAGTTGCCTAGAAATTTTTGTTGAAAGAAAGTTTGCACCCTGGATCGCGACAACAGCAACAGCCGTTGAAGGTCTGCCAGCGTGGAGCGATAGGCTAGATGTGGCTTCTGAATAGGCAGTATAGTCTACGGCCATACCACCCTGAACGCGCCGATCTAGTCTGAATAGGTCGCATATCCGCAGGGTGGAAGGGGCGGAGCCCTCACCGTGCTCTTCACTCCCTTGCCACTTTCTAGGCACTGCATCAGAGGCTGAGGGTACTGCAGTAAGCAAGACGCGGTTCCTGCCTGTGCAGACGCAGTAGATGTGCAATGCAGGGAACCTCGGGACCCTGTTGATGTTTTCTGCCCGTCACCGATGTGCACAACTCTCTTAGTCCTTACTGCAGTAGACTATCACCCTTGTGTGTCTCATCCTGTGAACTTGGAGTAATGTCTGCCCATCGTGAATGCTAAGTGTGAATTACTGCTGCTAGGTCGTCATCATGGTATAATTTTGAGTCCCCAGCTACCTTAGCATCTGAACTGTGATTCATTCTTGGGACTGTTTGCAGAGTCTCATTTGGGTTAAGGAGAGTGGAAAAGGCTAGAGATGTCTTTACACATAGGTGTTGGCACTGGATAGTGGTAATGTGTTGTACAGCTGGAATTGTGAGGAGCAGCATTTGGTTTGGCAGAACTAAAGTATTCTATTCATGTTTTACATATAACTTATGCCTGTGTGCCTTAGACTCCTAGGGGACAATTGCATATCTGAGTCGTCCTGAGGGAAGCAAATCTCTGTAATTGTAGTGTGGCATTGACAGCATTTAGGAGATACTTGAAACTACTACAAGTTAAAAATGTCAACAGGTTTAAGGAGTAGCCATGTTGAGGGAAGGAGATGCAGCTTGTAATTGCAACAGGATAGAAGATGACGGGGAAGTGAGAGGGATGAATGCAGCTAGTGTGTTAGGCATCTTTGGTGGTGTGTTCTGTGTCATTTAGTGATGAGAGCTCAGACTGGTGTTTTGGTTTGCTTTGTTTGAGAAAGGGTCTCACTATGTAGTTCAGGCTGGCCTTGAACTCACTATATTAGGCTAGGCTGGCCTCAAATTTGTGGCAATCTTCCTGCCTCAGCCTCCTGAGTGATGCGATTGCAGGGATGCACCACCACACCCGGCTCTCTTGGGCTGTTTTTATGACATGAACATTGTTTTTGTCAGTGTTTGACAAATGAAAAGACTTGTTTGTTGAATTTGTAAAGCTTCAGCATGGCCAGTAGAAGGTGTGGTATATAGATGACATAGAAGAATCTTAAGGACCAGGTTACAACCTCAAAACTCAGCATGTGGGAGCCAAATTGGTAGCAAATGCAGAAGAATGGTGTCCTAGGGCTCCTCTCTCAAAATCTTCTGCCCAGGAGAAAGAAAAGAATTGGTTAAGGGGACTTCTTATCTCTAACAGCAGCCTCTTGTTGACTTTCCCAGACAGTGACAAAACCCCTGGGTGGTTTCTCTTACAGCTAGAAACCAATGGCAGGAGACAGAACCAAACCCTGTGAGCTGGATCAAGAAAAGTATGATGCTGATGACAGCGTGAAGATCATCTGCCTGGGAGACAGCGCCGTGGGCAAGTCCAAGTATGTTTGGAGATTAAGGAAGAATAATTTGGCCCAGAATGGGTTTGAGTTGTGACAAAGTCTCCCAGAGGTGCAGAGGGGCATGGCTTCTGTGGGATGCTAAGCAATGAGTCTTGGCTGAAACGAAGACATCTGTAGGTAAACAAAGAGATCATTTGATCATCTGTGTATGTTGAGAGGGTAAGGCGTGATTCATAAGGTCTAAAGAATTTGAGCATTCTCTCTGAGTCCTGCCAGAAGATGCAGAGCAGTTCATCTTGGAGATTGTTCAAATAGTCTAGAGTGAGGTAAGAGCTGTGGTACTCCTGTGTGTTGCGGGAAGGACAAGGAATTGCAGGGCATGAGACAGTAGGAGTGGAGAGGGTGGTGGTGGATTGGACAAAGCTGGTAAAGATGCTTTCTTGGAGGGACCCACTGACATTGAAAAGTGTAGATACAATGATGATTCACTGTAATAATTATAAAGATAGGCTTATTCGTCTGACTTCAGCGCCTGCTTGACCAGGGGTGGAAGGAACTCTATGTAGAGAGGGGAAGAGAGGCTTTGGAGTACTGGCAGCTTGTCTGCATGAGGAACCCTGCATTCTCGCCTAGGGAGCAGATTGTCAGCTTAATAACTGATAGACCTTGTGGGGGATGTAGCCTGGTGTGGTATCCAATAGGCTCTGCCTTATACCCAACCCCCACATTCAGCTCCAGCCTCACTTGAAATAATAACAAAAACTAAGAGTCTAAGTAATTGACAGGCCACCAAAGATTGTCATAGCACTGGCATCTATGGCACTTTGAAAACAAGGTAGTCCCAGCCCCTAGTAATGTCTCAGGCAAAACATTGTCCCAGAGACAAAGATCATGATGGAAATTATATATCCATGGGTAAGTGGGTGAGTAAGAAAACTTGGCTCAGTTTTATTGGGCCTCAAGAATTCTGTGCCAGTTTTTAGTGTCTCTAACCTATGAATCTAAACTCAACTAGGAGAAAACTGCCATCAAGAGGTGAATTTGACAGGGATTTAGCTCAGTGGCTCCACCACCTGCCTCACAAGCACAAGATCCTGAGTTCAATCCCTGGTACCCCCCAAAAGAAAGTGAATTTAAGGCCTGTCTTTGGTACATCTGAAGAGTATCTGTTGCTATCTATTGTCTTTTTTTTTTTTTTCTTTTTTTTTGGTACCAGGGATCCCCAGCCCTGTTGCTATCTATAAGCAGGCAACCAAAGAGATGTCAATATCAAACTTTGTGCTGCCCAGGCAGGTATGGCACCAGTGAGCTACATCTCTGGCCCCTGACATCCCTAAATATTATAGAACTCTATATTTTTCCCTTCGGTTATGTCAGTATTTGTTTCATAGATTTTTGTGACTGTTTTTTGGTATTTATGTGTGTATAGCTTTATATCTTGATAGATTGAATCTTCTATGCACTCATATCTATTTATCTATATTTTTTTCTTTCATCAGTATTTTGCAGTTTCAGCTTCTATGTCCTATAAAAGTTTTGTTAGATTTACACATAGTTTTTTTTTTCATTTTTTAATGCTTACAAATGGTATTTTTAATTTTAGTGTACATGTGTTGTCAGGGTGTAGAAATATACTTGATTTTTTTTTACACTTGATTTTTGTATGTTGCTCTTATAATATGTGGCCTCAGTTAACTCTCTAGTTCTAGGAATCTTTGTTTTGTAGATTCCTTGGAATTTCCTATATAGACTATTATGACATCTGTATACGAGGACAGTAGTATTTCTTCTTTTCTTATTTGTATGCCTTTTATCTCCTTCTCTTGCTTTATCACACTGGCTAGAATTTCCAGCATTTCTAAGAATGATGAGAGCAGATGTTTTAGCCTTGTTCATGACCTCAGGGGAACACATCTCATCTTTAACCATTAAGTATATTAGCGATGGGGTTGTGTAGAGGCTTTTGTCAATTTGCAGAAGTTCCCCTCTATTTCTGCATTTTATCATGAATGAGCATTGAATTTTTTCAGTGTTTTCTTCATGAATTAATATGATCATGTGAGTGTTCTTTTTTATCTCATTGATATGATGGTTCACATTGATTTTCAAATATTAAACCAGCCTTACATCCCTGAAACAAGTTACATTAGGATTTGATCATGGCATATAACATCTTTTATGTATTGCTGAATTCTATTTACTATTTTGTTAATAGTTTATGCAACTATATTTTTCTGCCATTTTTCATTTTTATTCTATACTATCATTGTCCGGTCTTGATATCAAGGTAACTGGCCTGAATTGGGAATTGTTCTCTCCCACTTTATTTTTCTGCAAGAGACTGTGTAAAATCAGTGTTTATTCTTCAAAGGTTTGGTAAAATCCTCCACTGAAACTGGCTGAGCCTGGAGAATTCTCTTTGGAAATTCTTTTAACTATAAAATCAGAGTTCTTAATAATTACACAGCTATTCAACTGATCTGTTGCTTATTGGGTTAAGTTTTGTTAGTTTATCTTTTTGAGAGTTTGGCCCATTTTGTCCAAGTTGGAGAGTTGTTTGTGTATTATAGTTTGTAGAAGGCTATACTATGACTTAGGGAGAAATGTGTATGTTAGATAAGCTATGTTCAAGCATGACTTATATATAGTGTTATTGGATATGAAACCAATATTAACAAGCCAACAGTATATAATTGATGTATTTTAAATGTATATTTACATAAATAAGTCCATATATTTGTATTTATATATTTTACATTCAGATACTATTTTAATCAGAATCTATTCCATAGATATCAATACAGATATAGATATAGATCAGGACCTTGAGATTGCAAGGCAGGCAGCAGAACCAGAGCTAAATCCCCGGCCCATTATATTTTTTTAATTCTGCCACAGAAAATTCAATAACTCTATCATTGTTCACTAGCAAATTTCTGGTCAGAGAACTATCGAGTTAATTGGCTGAAATTCCATTTAAAATTTTAAAGCAAATACTTT